AATCATTACCTTCAGGCTTTTTGCTGTAAACACTGTCTTTTCAGAGAAAATGCAGTGTTTACATTACAGCCTAGTGATAACGTCACTGGCCACTCCTCAGATGGCTGTTAGAGATCCTTCCTGGGTCATGTCTGCCTAAAATGCATCCAAACATTCAGTGTCTCCTCCCTCTGCATGCAGACACTGAACTTTCCTCACAGAGATTCATTGATACAATTCATCTCTATGAGAAGATGCTGATTGGCCAGGGCTGTATTTGATTTGTGTTGGCTCTGCCCCTGATCTGCCTCTTTGTCAGTCTCACCCAATCCTATGGGGAAGTATTGTAATTTGATAAGGCTACCACTTCTACTGATGTCAGCAGGCAGTGGGCAGGTCTAAAGGAAACAGGGACAAAGTAAACAGCTCCAGACTTGAATACAAGTAAGATTTTGCTATATTTATGGAGGCATGATGGGGTCCAGGGTGGCTAGATGGTGGTTTTAACACTATAGGGTTCGGAATACATGTTTGTATTCCTGACCCTATAGTGCTCCTTTAAAACTACTAAATGAGGCAGCTAAAATTGTCTTGGCAAGAAATTGGAAATCTCTGAATGTCCCCTCAAGGTTGTGTCTTTGGATCTCAATTACAACATCAATTTGAAATGGAGAAAACTGTTCACTTCAATATAAATAAAGAAAAAATCTACTTAGTATATGATAATCTTTTTAACAAACTAAAAGGGATATGTTAAGATCTCCAGTACGGATGTAAATATGGATTCTAGTTAAACCTTCAACTGAAAAATTGGTTATAGTTAAATATGACTATTGGCTGGTCGCCATGTATGAATGTGGTATGAAAGGATTGTGGCTTAGTATTGACTTTTAGATATCTGGTAATAATTGTACATGTTATTGTTACTATGTATGTTTTTATACATATATATATTTTATACATGCTTTGTATTGTTATAGTGATGATAAAAAACAAAACAAAAAAAATAATAAATGAAAATAACTCATCCTCATTCACTTGTAGAATCACGATGTTTAGCCATTCATGTTCCTAAGTGCTAGTTTATCATGACATTCAGGAAACATTCCCGTAACTACAATAACCTGAAAAACCAGTCCATTTAATCTGCTTGGCACCGACATTTTCAGGAACTGCCCACAATGAATGCTTCTGTAAGTTCCGTTCAGCTGGTATCATTATCTCTGGCATTTGGCAATGATTCAACCTAAGTGGATACAAAGGTTGCTCCGAACCAGATGACAAGCTTCATATTTGCTAGCATTGACCAGTTTTGCAAGTAGTATGGAATCATCTCAGTGATACAAGCATTCTTCAAGTGTCAGAAAAACCTCTATTAGAAATATTTCCAAACAGAATGCCATGTTGCGGGTTAAATTAAAGTAGGTGCATGTTGTTACATACTAAAAGTAAAGAATGGGCCATTACATTTGAATAATTTGTCCCTGGGGTAATTTCATTTCAAAGCTGGATGCCTGTCAGAAAAAGTTAACAACAAACCTGGTAAACATTGGAAAGGTGAGGCAAAGTTTCTCTCCAAATATTTGAGACTGCTATACTCACTGTAAGTTAAGAAGTAGATGTTTTTCACCCAATAATCCAGAGTCCAACACCCAATGTTAAATCAGGAAATTATCTTCATTTAACAATCAATCTTCAACAAATCGTTTAAGCCAATGAGTTCTGTTGAGTTCTGAAATTTCCTGTGGGCACCAAACAGAAGAGCTATACAGTAGGAACAGAAAGTCCCTAGCAGCAGTCTAGGAGGCATCAGGAGCTTGTAGTAGATCAAACTAGATTGGTAGCAATAAAAGAACTGAGAAGGAAAGAAAAAAATAGGTACAGCAATCTAGCTGAGCAGCAGTGTCTATGGTAGCAGTAGTATAAAGCTTGGGCAGCAATGATATGAATAGCAGGAGTTAATCTAAATGCAGCTAATGTGCTTTTTTTAAAAAACACTGTGTCTGGACTGTAAATTAATTCTCTTTCCTGTCTTTACTATAATTATTTAGATGCAGGACACAAAAATATTTTACATGGCAGAAAGATGTGTGATAAACCAAGCATGTTCATAATTTAAAAGCTAGTACTTAATTCAAATTTCACCAGATTTACTTCCACTGGAAATATTGACGATCTTCTTACTCAATCAAAGTCATGACCACAGGGGTGGCCCTACATAAGGCCATGGTGTCAACAGTACCCTGGCAGCATCGAAAGGTGTGCAGCTTTCACGCCGCCTCCTCACAGCATAGCCTCCTCACAGTATAGCCCTTTCTTCATTACATATGAAAGACATCCCCTTGTTATCCCTTTTCAGTTTCATGAAACTGGATTACCGGTTCTTGATCAACACTTTCATGATCTTCAAGACAGGTGGAAGCTTGTACAGCGTGCAATGCCTTTGGCTTTCTCTCATCATAAAACACTTGCAGACAAATGCCGTTTCATGGCACCTAGTTATGTTGTTGGGGACAAGGTCTGGCTTTCCACTCGCAACATCAGATTGAAAGTGCCGACTATGAAGTTGGCTCCCAGATTCATTGGCCCATATGTAATCTCTACGAAAATCAACCATGTCATGGCCTTGCATATTCCTAATGTTTTTCATGTGTCCTTGCTCAAGCCTCTGTTGTGTAATTGCTACACCAAATGTGTGCCTGTCGATGGTCGGGACGAGTATGAGATTCAATCTATTGTGGACTCAAGGTGGTCGCATGGGATGTTACAGTATTTCATTCATTGGAGGGGTTATGGACCGGAAGAGCGTATGTGGGTTCCTGCCTCTGACGTTCATGCTGCTAGGCTGCTGAGTGCTTTTCATGTCTGGTTTCCCAAAAAGCTGGCCCCTTCCCGCCCAGTGGGCGGTTTTCGGGGAGGAGGTACTGTCACGCCACCCGCCGGGTCTGCTCATGCCAGAGAGTGGTATGGGCACACATCATTGTGGCAGCATTCCCACACATCAAGGGGAATTCCGCGGAATAGTTACCCGGTCTGCAGGCAATGGGAATGCCGCCTCACTGACAGGAATTCCTCCCCCTCACACAGCGGCCAGGTCTGCAATCATTAGAGATGCCGGCCACTGCAAGTTAGAACCTTTTAAGGGTTTTGTTATTAACCCTTATAGTGCCATACCATTTGGACTTGTGTGGGTGATGTCACACACACAAGTTCACTATCACATGCTTCCCTGCAGCCAATCATGTTCAATTTTGTCCATTTCTCTGTGCCCTGTCGTGGTTTCCATTCTAGTTATCTGAGAGCGCGTTTCTGGTACTGATTCTTGTGTATTTTGACCTTGGCTTTCCTACGGACTATCCGATCTCTGTATTCCTTGACCTTTGGCTTGGCTCCTGACTATTCTGGCTTCTATATTCCTCGACCTTTGGCTTGTTAATAGTTTCTTTGATTTCTGTGTTCTTGTCCACAGCCTGTTTTTTCCATTTATACGTTAAATCTGGCCTTTATAAGGCCCAGTAATACGTCTTAGGGTTTTCTTTATTTTTTTTACTTAAGTTCTGCGTGTTGGGCATTAGTTTATCCTCTCAGCAGCAAAATAATTCCTTTTAGCAAGGTCAAGGGTTCCTAACCCAGTCCTCAAGAACTCCCTACCAGTCCAGAATTTAGGGATTACCCTGTTGTGTCTAAAGTATTTTTGTGTTTTTGTTTTATTCTAAAAACACCTTAGACACAACTGGATAATCCCTAAATCCTGGACTGTTCAGGGGTACTTGAGGACTGGGTTGGAGACCACTGAGCTAGGTGATTAAAAAATGCATTTGCACAGTCAGGAGTAGGGGATGCCCTAGACAGTAACACGAATGGGCATTGTGAAAATGCATTCTAAAACTCTGGCTGCTCCTTATCAGCATGGCTATGTCTGTGCCAGATGAAGTCTTACATAGGAGACATGGTTCAAGTGAGAGCGTTTTTCTTCATTGGTAGAGAAGAGGTCAGAGGAACACTTTCTACTTTTTTGTTTTAACCAATATCTAATTATCTAGATTAGTGGTTCCAAAACTAGTCCACATTACCCAGCAACAGTCCACATTTTGTTTATTCCAATTCCATTGAAATAAAAAATGGAAAATACATAAATCCCGGATTGTTGCTTGGTCATGAGGCATGGTTTAGGAAGCACTGCTCTAAAGCAAAAGCAACTCTACCTATTCTTTTCATCTGTGTACGCATGTAGCTACTATCATACGTATTTATAAACTATACACATATTATTAACATCATTTTGCTGCAAACATCTTCCAAAGTGCTTCATAGTCATAATTATGAGAAAATATGTGCAGCAATATTTTCATACTTAAGAATTATAATAAATAAGTCAAGTATTTGTTCGTATTTTATACAGTTTTAATTTATCCTAAGCAGATCATAAACAAAAATATAAACCTGAAGATTTCCCGGAGTTTATTTTAGAGACGTTGCACTCTTCATTTTTAAGTTCAGAAACAGATAAATAAAACAAACAAAGTAAGACACCAATCTAAATGGTTTATATGTTGTAAATAAACATAACATGGACAAAGTAGGACAACAAGAAACAAATGGTGAAACGGGGTGTCTATTCACAAACAGTGTGATATATTGCGAAACCCACCACCCCTTACTGATTGATAAATGGACCCCCTTTTAAAGCATAGTTAAAAATAAAATAAGTGATTGACAATGGATTATAATTGTCAAACTTTTATATACAAAGAACCAATGAAGAACATTAACTTACTTGTTTAAATATTGTAGATATAGGGACATTAAAAAAAATGTTTAGCATAATATATGCAATTGACAAAGAAATTATACTTTGAGGATCAGGAAAAACAATGAAATTGTGCAAAGTAGCAGAGTCTTCTATACAAAACTATAACTCAGGAGAAACTTGTACGAAAAAGAATTGTGCATCCACTGCTTCCTTTTTTCATGAAGGTTATCAAGAGGCCCCATGTCAGGGTGAGTAATTCTCCAAACGCACAGAAACTGCTTCACCGAAGAGTGCTACTTTCAACAATAATAGTTCTACATTTGGATAATGCTTTGGTTTTTTTGACGATTATAATTACAGAGCTGGCGTTATTGTTAGACTGGGCTGGGCTGCCATGTTGAAGCCATGTTGAAGCCTTCGAAAGGTAACCATCTTGACTTTGTTTCTTCCTTTCATTGTTTGTGTTTTATTTTGCTAGATGGTAACTCTTGGCCTGCTCTTCTATTTGATTTCTTCTCTCCATGCTCCTCTTCTTGAGAGACTTGCTGAACTGCTTGCAGAATCACCTTTTCTACAATCTGTTTACTAGCATTTTGTAGCTTTACTTCCTCTGGCTCTTTTCCTGGTTTCTCCCCTAGAAAAAAAAAATGGTTCATATGTTAAAAACGACAATTGCAATATTGTAAATTTGCAAAATCAAAGTGATCACCCTGGCAACAAAAGATCCACAATTTGCCATTAACTTCTGAAGAACCAATATTATTTCGTGAGGCCTTCACGCCCTGTTAACAAATAACTCTATGCCCATATGGAGTGTCCTATTTATTATTTGCATACTTATGCATTCTCTTTACCAATAAATAAGTGGCACATTCCATTTTAATGCTGGATGTTTGAAGGTTACTTTGTTGTTGCCGACTTATTCTGTCACTTGTCTTTCATGGGTTAATTAGGTCACTCATCCATGTACTATTAAGGATGTCAAACTTTTATAAACGGTCTCTTTACTGAGAGCTTCAAAGTAACTTGATTTACACTATTGTTGCCTACTTCTTTTTCATATCTTTTTGACAGATTCAGACATGTTATTGCAATTTAAAGGGGGAGTATAGACATGGCAGGGAATGAGAAATGAAAGAGGAGTGTCTATTTATTCAACATGTTAACCCGAATACACAAATTCACAGAGCAAAACTAGAACAAGTGATTTTCACAATTAGATCTGGTATCATAAATAGAAAAGTAGGTTTCTGATAAAAATAAAAAACATTGTTATATCCGATGAAGGAACAATATGAATTTACCATAAAATTGTACATGTTTTGACTTCCTATTCATACTTCTTTGTTTCCCACTGCATTATCTTCTTGCAGGTAGTACAAGGAATAATCTGAAGCTGTTCACATATACGAATATGGCTTCTACTATCCAAATATGTGCAGGATAATTGTGCTATCATAGTTTGTTGTGCTATCATGTTGTAAATTCATAACTTATTTTAACCCCTTAAGGACACATGACAGAAATATTCCGTCATGATTTCCTTTTATTCCAGAAGTTGTGTCTTTAAGGGGTTAAAGGTTATCACACTCTTAGGGCTATATTTCATTAAATGATATACGCTTATTTTTTAATATTAGCAATGTTCCCATTCACTTGGAAATATATATATATTACCAGAGATTATACCCTCCCATAAAAAAACTGATTAAGTCATTCTATGTTGAATGCAAGAGAGAGATTGAAAGACAGTGTCTCAAAGCATGCAAAATGAAAAAGTCAAAGACTGAAAGAAAAACAAATCAATTAAAGCTTACTGACAGACATGATTAGTGCAACCATATGCCCAATCCAGCAGTTTCCTAATGGTGTCATAAAGTACTACATGAGATACAAAGGAAGGTACAATATTTCTCCCAGTAGATTGCGAAGCAGCATTGGATATATGTCTCTGTTCACAGAAACCTCTGCAAATTATGTCATGTTTCTAAATTATAGAGACCTCTATTAAGAAAGATAAGCTATTAATCACTCTGAAACCAAAGGAAAACACTTCCTCCAATGTATATATGCGTACAGGGTGTTTATCCCCAACTAACCATTAATTAATGAAGGAGCTATTGTGATCATCATATGAATTTGTTAATAAAGAGTGACTGGAAGATTTGCTCTAAGGCACATATGTAACGTTTACAGTCGGTAGCACTTACTGTTGGATTTGCCCTTTCAGTATAATAATAAGTGTAACACTCTGGATGACTTACTAGTGCAATGATGGCTTACTGTGCCGTGGGCCAATTTTTTAGACTATATATTTATGATGGTCAACCATTCTAAATGACACAAATATCCAGAACACTAATGCTGTCCTAGTGTGTAACATTTGGTGAAAAATATTAGCAGAATATTTTACTCTTAAGAGAGCAACTAAGCCCAGTAACGGAAATAGCTGAAGTTCCATAAATAAGTTTTACCTCTATGGGGCCATACTGTGCAAATAGCCATTGTGATTTGTTTTCTCCATACTCTTGGTGAATTTCTTGCCATACTTTGGGAAATTCAATGATCACATCATATTTTAAAAAAATAATAATTTCAGGAAGTAATACTTTACTGTGAGGGTAGTAGATGCATGGAAAAGCCTTCCAGCTGAAGTGGTAGGAGTTAACACAGTAAAGGAGTTTAAGCATGCATGGGATAGGCATTAGGCTATCCTAACTATAAGATAAGGCCAGGAATTAATGAAAGTATTTAGAAAATTGGGCAGACTAGATGTGCCGAATGGTTCTTATCTGCCCTCACATTCTATGTTTCTATTCAGTCAGGTTTCAAGAGATTGAAGCCCTGAATGATACTTCCTGAAACTAAGTAAATGTCACATACAATGAACCTGACAATGCAAAGTTCACATTGTTGGTTAAAGGTAATGTAGATATTTAATAAGGGCAATCATTCATTTGAAGCTTTTCAATTTAGTCGTTAAACTACTGTCATTGATTTTTTACTTTTACACAATATTCACTGGAACTGCAAATATTTGTATATTTAAAACAAACATTGCAGAGCAGAGTGGATTAATAGTAATTTATACAAGGATAAGATTGAAGAGTGAAAATGGGCTACATCAATGTTAATGCAGTAAAGGTGGCAAATAACAATGCATTTAAACACTGAA